AATACCCCAGACATCATCTTGTCCAACTCCCTGCTTAAAAAAACATCAACTCAGATCAGATTTATTTCTGTTGCTCATTACTTCTATAACACAAAAGCATATGGCATGTCAGCTGTAGAGATGCACAGCTAAAGTCTCTACAGAGAGTTACAAAGCTAAACTAGCAGGTTTTTTGTAACCACAGGATGATGGGATTTGATGAAGACCGAGGAATAATTCCAAGACTTTGTGAAGATCTTTTCAATCAAATAGCACAGATGGACAAGGAACAGGTGATGTGCTTATGCTACTGACCTTACATTGGAATATGAGGAAACTGATAACTTAGTGCTGATCTGTTTATTAATGTTCATATTCTTTTACTGCTTCAAATCTTATATCTGCTGGTAGCTCTGACTGACAGGGTTCCCTAAGTAGTCAAAATCAACATAGTTTTACTTCCTTCATGGCAATAACGTGAAAAAAATACAGGCATGATATTTTTAATGTATCACTAGACTAGGGTTCTTTTCTCTATATTGCATGTCTTACAATATAAGATTTATGTAGGGCAAGATAAATCCCAGTGGGCTCCACACTTGCAGTGGAGGCAGTAGAACTGAAGTTGAAAAATATAAATGTATTGTTAAACATCATGTCTCAAAGCAAAACACACTTCAATAGTATTCCTATTCTAGCTCAGTGTTCTTGCTGAAATAAAAAATAACTACCCTCATTTTCTTTGCATTTGCTTTATCTATGTATTTGTTCACGTCTGTTAGGAATGACTTGCAGTTCAGTAGACCTTAACATTCAGTTAAGTTTATGCAGACAAACTTTTCCCTTTTTAGCTATTCCAGATTTCTTTATTGCTTTGTTTGAGTTCTGGACTTTGAATCCTAATGCCAGTGAACATACAATATTCTGCTCCTGCAGTGGATTTGATAGACAATGAGGAATTAAGAAGTAACCAACAATCTTTGTTGCTGAGTTTGGCTAGAGAGTATAACTTCTGAAAAATGCAGAGCTTTCGTTATTCCTCTGCTTATGCATTGTAAGTGATTCTGTTGCAGGAAGTTGTCTTGAATCTTGTGCTTCTGACTTCAGTGTTTTAGAGGTTTTGCTGCAATCTTCCTTGTCTCTTAAAGAAAATTTCATTTTAGTTAGAAAAACACCAAAAAACCTTCATGCCTTTAGAGGAAAGAGATGTGTTTTCATGAAAGTTTTGGTGTGGTTTTGTTTGGTTGGTTGGTTTTGTTTTGCTGTTATTGTTGAAACCCAACACTGAAACTTCTAAGGAGGATGTTATATACTTCTTTTAATGCTTGATAGCTTCCATCTGGAAATGGCTGTGCATGGAATTCCAATAAATTGTGTTATTGATATTAGCAAGTAGATGACCTTTAAAGGTCCCTTCCAATCCGAACTGTTTTATGATATAACTTCTTTTGGAAAATCCCTTCAGTACAAATGCTTGTAACATTGAATATCAGGATCTGGCAATCTAAGTTAATTTATGAAACAAACAATAATGAAAATATTTTGTGCACCATATTAATACCTCTTTTATTATTAATTTTACTAGATTTTGTATCATCTTGAAATGAGCTTCTTTGAAATATACAACGAGAAAATCCATGATTTGCTTGTCTTTAAAGCTGAAAATGGGCAGAAAAAACAGCAAGTAAGTTGCTCATAGAAACAAGTATATGCATAACCTCCAAGCAGCGGCATCTATTCTGTAAACAGAAATACACAATTGGCAAATGATCATTGATTTGCTATCTAAGTAACTTAGTTGTGAATAGAAGGATTAAAGTAAAAAAACAAACAAAAATATCACTATGTCACTGAACTAGTTGAGCTAGTTTGTAGTGTTTGTTTGTTAGAATAAGAAAAAACAAATTAAAGAAATTTGTCTTATGTAAGACATGTAGGAAGGAATTTATTATATCTGATTTATCAAAAAAAATATTTTCTGTTCTTTGACACTGAACATTATACTGACCACTTATGTATAAACTCAGTATTAGTTTATGATAAAGATATTACAGTACGTTCAACTTGCTCTTGAAATAAGTCCTTTAACCTAAGCTTGAGACTTATGTGGACTTGTTATATAGAAGTTAAGACTATATTGTCTTGTCTAAAGCAGGAGTGAGTTTTGTCAGTGATTTTAAGGTAAGCTACTTAACTTGGAAACATAAAAGATTTATGTTGCAGAATGTCTTTATTTTTCTTTTTAAGATACTCCTGAGTGCTAGATCTAACTAATGCACTACTAATACTTTTTATTTTGAAATTACTCTCACCAGCTTCGTGTAAGAGAACATCCAGTGTTAGGACCATATGTGGAAGGCCTGACAGTGTAAGTCTTAACTGTTTGTATTTTAAAAGATGTGTGGTAGAACCCTGAAAGAGTGCAGTCGTTATCTTGAGGCTCTGTGAAAGCTTGTGTACTCACCAGTAAATCAAGCAAGAGCTCTGTGTCATGTAGTTTTAGAAAAATTCATACCTGTGGTGTATTGCCCTAGGGAAATAAGTGTGTGAAAGTCTCGAGTCAACTGAAGCTTTCATTGTGTGTTTGTGTTTCGTTTGTAACTGGGAAATGCTTCAGAACTCGGGCAGCAGGGAAAACTATAGAAAGAAAACTGTCTTAACCCAAACTTTTCTTTTTCCCCCCACCTTAGGAATGTTGTTCGTTCTTACTCTGATATTCAGGTAAGACTTGTTTGGTTATTAAATGAGAATACAAATATTTCTACTTGCTCCTTTCTTCACTGCTGAAAAATAATTTCCATGGATGGGAAAAAAGTGCAGACTGTCCAGTAGTCTATGATGTTTCAGCTGTTTTTGTAAAAGGATAGTGAAGACTAGCCCAATATAATGGAGCTGAGTAGATTCATACAGTTAAGTGTCACTTTTCACATGGTGATCTCTTAAGTTTAAGTTTTCATTCTTCCCATGCAGTCATGATTTTTGTTAATAACTTTATTGGCAAACATAAAAACCTTTATTTAACTCTCCAAAGCAGGTTTTGGTTTCACATCCTAAGTTGTTTTCTCTTACAGAGTTGGCTTGAACTAGGAAATAAGCAGAGAGCAACGGCTGCTACGGTAATGAATGACAAGAGCTCCCGATCTCATTCTGTCTTCACCCTTGTCATGACGCAGACCAAGGTATCGCTGGGTTGTTCTTTTTTTTATATCTGCTCAGATCGAGTAGTAAAAAGTTTTGTGTGCTGCCTAGAAAGTTGTGAGAATATACTTGAAGATCTTGGAGAAAAGCACAGGGCATTTTAATGTGGCTTTCTACACAGCAAGAGCTGTTTTCTTTCATGTGCTTTGAGTGGATTCTTATGTCTCTGTGCTACATATATTTATAGCAGCAATATAAATATGTTCTAGACTGACAGATCTAGGAGTAGTTCCAAGCTTCTCAGTGTGAGTTTTGAGATATAACAGGAATCCTAATTGAGGCCAGACCAAATTTCACACTGCTGCCCACACATCTTAGCTTCTGAGAAGTTTAAGCTGTGTGAGGTGCATAGCTGTGCCGAGTTCCTGCAAGCGATGGACTGGGACAACAGTAGGAGATGCAGTTTCTGCTCAGTTTCAACACAATTTACTGAACAAATGTTTCCTTGCTTCTGGATGCCTCTCTTCCCCCATGTGTCTCTAGGACATAGGGACTACAACTCCTCATCGATTTACAGATGCTTAAAAGACAAAACCTGACTTAGTGAGTTGAGCCTGAAGACAGAAGAGAAATAGGTAGAGCTCCTCAGGAGCCTACAGACTGTCAATTTTCTCTATGAACAAATAACTTGTTGGTTTGTGTTTTTTGTATTCTTGATGGGTTTAATTTTTCATCCCAGTTTCCTGATCTTCTTTCCTTCTTCCCCCTTGCCATTGTGACCACTAGATTGTTGATTTTTCCCTATCAAAACTGGTCTTGAGCCTTTTCCACTAACTACTTACCTGATCTTGGTTGGTCAGTAATAGCTTACTGATTTCCATGTTTTTTGGATAACTGCAATAGTCAAACTTCAGACCCAAATCTTTGGTAATCTGTTGTGTTTGCAGTTTATGCTTATGCAGTTAATCAACCACAGCCAACTGATTCTATGGTTAAAATCTGAACTTGCTCTCCTTCAAGGGATGTACATGAGGATATCCTGTCAAAAATAAATGGAAGCATCAATTTTTAATGTGTTTACTGTGAACAGCTTTTCACATTTCTGCTTGTCCTCAGGCTTCTTATTTTGGTTTGAATGCTGACATCTCCCTTTTTTTCCAGGTAGAATTTGTGAATGAAGAACAGTGTGATCGTAGGCTTACCAGTCACATCAATTTAATTGATCTAGCTGGCAGTGAGTGCTGTGCAAAAGCTCAGACCACTGGAGAGAGGCTGAAGGTAAATCAGGACTGGAAATCTGTGGAAAATGATTCACTCCTAATAATATCCTTAAACTCCAAAGCATACTCACCTAGTGGGACTCTTGGGCAGGAGCTGTAGCTGTGGAGGATGTGTATAGCCCTTATAAGTATTACATCATGTTTTGCTGGGAGGGTGGGTGGCCTGAAGAAGGTGTCTGCACTGTGCAATGTGGCACATCTTGCTTAGAACAGCACTTCCCATGCTACGCAGGTCTAATGATCCTGCAAGAGGAGCGAGGGAAAACTGTTGATGTGACTTTGCAAATAGTGAATCAAATATCACACAGAGTTGGGTCTTGCCCCTTTTTGCAGGAATCTAATTAAATCGAGTTTCTAACAAGAGACTTCATTTCAAGCTGCCTTCATAAGTTTGATGGCTCTTAACACCACTTATTTTAAAGGCAGAGTCTTTGTTCTTTCCAAATGAGGATGTTCTAGACAGCTCTTGCATCTTATTGTTGTTTGTTTTTTTAATAAGTCGTAACATTTAATGTGGTACAGCTGTACCATACATTGAACAAGCACAATTAATCAACAGTACAGTCAATAACATCACACAAGAAGGTGCAACTCTATTATATTTTTATTTCTGCTTTGTGTAGGAAGGTGTGAGTATCAATAAATCGCTGTTAACCCTTGGAAGGGTTATTTCTGCGCTCTCTAAACAATTTCAAAATGGAAAGAAAACTTTCATTCCTTACCGCGAATCTGTCCTTACTTGGTATGTACACTTCAGAATTTTTTTTTATATAGAAGTAGAGGCTTTCTGAGATTGTGGTTTTCTTTATCTGTTCATGAAGCATCACTTTCCTCTCTCAAATGACCTATGGAAGGAAGAAATTAGCCTGTTGCATCAGATAAAGAACAAACAGGACCTCGGTTTGTATTTTAAGTAGCTAACGGTCCCTCTCAAATAAGTAGCAAGACCCTGAGTATTTTTTTATTTAATTTGTTCTGCTTGAGGAGTTGTGAATTTTTCTCTCAGTATGAGGGCCAGGGATTGACTTGTATTCTCCTGTGAAATGAAGGTTGTTGAAGGAAAGTCTTGGTGGGAATTCCCAGACGACGATGATTGCCACGGTGAGTCCAGCTGCGAGCAGTACGGAGGAAACGCTGAGCACCCTTCGCTATGCAAAGCAGGCTTGTTCAATTATCAACGTTGCTAAAGTAAATGAAGATGTAAATGTGAAGTTAATCAGAGGTGAGATTGACATCTGCAGTCTTTGAGGGTTTTTCACTTGCACATGTGTTTTACTTATTGCTTCATAAGTTTTTTTTTCTACTAATAATCTGTTGTGTTGACTGACCGCTTGTCAGCTAGGCTAATACAACCTAGTTTCAATATCATTATTCTTTGTGAGCTTTTTTTCCCGAAGTTTAAGTGATATCTTAGGTTACACTTGAGAACCTGAAACAGGGAAATGTGTTTTGTCTTTTCAGTTGAATAACAGGATGAATTTTCTAGTATTGTACTGAAGTTTCTACACCCTATTTTGTCTTCTTTTCTTATGGGCGCTGTGTCTGTTTGTCTAATGTAGAATTGAAAGCTGAAATTGAAAGGATGAAGGCAGCTCAGAAAAGTGCTCTGAACACTGATCGTGAAAAATACAGGCGTTATTTGCAGGAAATAACATCTTTGAGGGTAGAGCTGCACCAACAGGAGAGGAACATGGCAGAAATGCAAAGGTCAGGCAGTCATGAATGTCTTAATTTAAAATAGAAATAGTAAGACTTATATGCCGTCATTTTTCTCCTAATATGTTGTGTTATTTTCTCTTAAAATATTAAGGGCCTGGAAAGAAAAATTTGAACAAGCAGAAAAAAGGAAATTGGAAGATATAGAGGAATTGCAGGTACATTTTTCTTTCTATGGGAGATAGTACAGAAAATGTAACATCAGCAAACCTTGCAGAATAATGGGAGTAGCTGTAAGGTTTGGTTTCCCTAATACTATTCTTTTAACAGACTGCTGTGACTATAGGAAGATTTAAAGTAGGTATTTGAATGCACAAAGTTAATTGTATTTTTATGCAGAGCTCTCTTTTTATCTAGAAAGCTGGAATTGCATTCAAAATGGACAATCATTTACCAAACCTTGTCAATCTCAATGAAGATCCTCAGCTTTCTGAGGTGCTGTTGTATATGATCAAAGAAGGAGAAACTACAGTTGGAAGGTGTAAACCAAATTCAAAACATGATATCCAGCTTTCGGGAGTGCTGATTGCTGATGACCATTGGTATGTAGTGTTATTTTTATACTTAATATTTCTTCTCACTCTTCCCTTTCTTTTGGAGTCACTCTTTCTTCTGGCAGTAACAAAACATGGTTTTCTAGCCAAGAAAATAACATTTAGGGATATTTTTTTTTTACTGCTTAATGATTAAGGCATCTTCCTTCTGTTCCCTCTAAGAAATTGTTGACTGGGGTAGTTTAATTTCTTTATTCATCTCATTCATGTAGCAAAATCTTCTGCAGTGTTTCTGCATGAATGAGACCTGATCAAATCATGTTCTGTGGTAGATAACTGTTACATTAAGTTCATTAGAAAAGTGAAATGTCTTGATAGTTCTTCCTTCAATAAAAATAGAGATCAGTTTGGCCATACTGCAGAAATACTGTTTCAAGTGCATTCTGTGCAATTAATCTCAGACAAAAGGCTGTAAGAAATTTAACTAATCACTTACTAAGCCCATGAAAGATGCAGATATGTTGGGAAATTAGGTGTTATGAAAGGAATGCTCAGGGTATTGTAGTAATTTTTTAGCAGTAGATTCTTAGATTTAAATATAGGTTCCTTCCAAAGTATAGGTTGTCATTTCTTAATTATGTGTGTTATGACTAAATAGTATGAAGACAATACACATTTGGAAAGACAATAACAGAACACAATCTAAAGCATGAATTTTAGTCTAGTAAGAAATATCACTTGCAATTATTATGAGCTACTGATACTGTAAATGTTTCTTGTTTTCAGTGTTATAAAAAATGCTGTTGGCCAAGTAAGTATTATTCCACTGAGAGAAGCAAAGACGTATGTAAATGGAAAATGCATTTTGGAGCCAACAGTTCTGCATCACGTAAGTGATTAATTTGATAATAGTAATATGTGCATGTGTGGATTTCTTTGCTTTGTTAATATTTCAACTTCAGACTGCAGCCTTCTTAGAAGGCTCTGTAACTGTAAATATTTGTCTCTTCATCTTTGATTTCTAGCTCTACCTGCTGTGTTTTAAGCACTGAAAATTTTTGCTTATAAATTTAAATTTTTAGAAGAATTCTTTTTTTTTCGCAATAGGGTGACCGAGTGATCCTTGGGGGAGATCATTATTTCAGGTTTAATCATCCAGCAGAGGTTCAGAAAGTTAAAACACCTTCTTGTGGGACCACGTGCTTGCATGATGGTCCAAAAGATTTTGAATTTGCAAAGAACGAGCTGCTTATTGCACAGAGAACACAGTAAGCATTAGTTCTTCTTGTTCTTTAGATAAATTTAATAGTTAATTCAACCATGTAATTAGTTTAAGAAATAATTAATAACTTTCAGTTATTTCACAGTAAGGGAAAATAGCAACTCTATTTGTAATGGAAATGCAAGTCCCAGACTTAGCTGAAATGAGAGTGAACCTCTGAGAGTGAATCAGCACAAGCTAGTTCAGTTATCAAGAATGTAGACCATGATTAGAGAAACACTGAGCTCCAGGGCTCCTCAAAGCAGTGTCTCTCTTTGGTTGTGTTTCTCTCCAAGCATATGATGAGTCTGAAAGTTACTTTTGATGTTTTGGAGAGATTTAAAACCTGAAAAGTAAATGCCTTAGGAAAATGTGAAGAACCCAAAGTTGTAACCTTAGTCTTACCTGATGAGGGAGAATTTGAGAGATGAAGTGTTATTTGTACTTGCTTCATTCCTGGGAGTTATAAGAATGCCAGACTCACTGACTTAAAATTCACTTGTCCCATCTTAATGTGATTTAGTGGGTTTCCATTACAGTACTTAATTTTGTGAAAGTGATGTAATAAAATGAAAATGGAAATTGAGTGGACTTAAAAACTCCGGAATGTCTTTCAAATTTACCAGTGTCTATGTTTTCCCTATGAAATGTAAAATAGGTGAAGTATGAAAATTAAAAAACAAACAAACAAACAACAAAACAATACCTTAACAAACCCTCATGATAGGAATAAAAAGTTGATAATCTCTATGCAACCTATAAGAGATTAAAGGCAGTGTTCTAAATGTATGATACTTGTAGTCTGGAGTCAGAAATTGAAGAGGCTCGGCTCAAAGCCAAGGAAGAAATGATGCAAAGTGTCCAGATTGCGAAAGAGATGGTTCAACACGAGCTGACCTCACAAAAAGAAGCTTATGAAAGCAAAATAAAATCACTGGAAGCAGAGGTGGTAAGTTGCCATTGCATTATTACATCAAACATATCAATAACAGAAACTGTACCTGGCGGTATCTGTTTGCTGCTTGGTTGGGGTTGGTTTGTTTGTGATGTGGGGGTTTTTGTCTGGAATATTCTAAGTGTCTCAGAGAATGCCTCATTCTTTAAAAAAAAAAAGTCAGTAACACAAGAAGTTGGCAACTAGGTATTCCCTTCAGAGTTACTCTAGGAATTGTAACTTGTATGCAAAGAAAAATACCTACAGAAATTATTCCATGAGATTTTAAAATTACTATAGTATATTACTACAGTATATTACTTAATATAGCTTTTTTTCTTTCCAGGTTGGCATGCTACTTTGTTAGTTTTTTCAACACTTTTACAACATACAATAAGTTGGCATAGAATGTACAGCATGGGAAAATAATAATGATGATGTATCTTATGTCTTAAACATTCTATGGGAGACAGTGATGCTTGTGATGTGGGATATAACTTTTCACTGCTGACGTTGGGCTGTGTAGGCTGCAGGAACTGCATGTTTTAAAAGTGTTGGAAATGAAAATAAACCTTAATATCTGCATAAGGGATGGGTCAGAAATGCTGTTGAAGTGATTTTCCTCCTCTCATCTCTCCGTTTTGATATCAGAGAGAAGAATCTCGTAAGAAGCAAATCCAAGAAATGAATAACCAAAAAGCTGCAACTAAAATACAAGAACTAGAGAAGGCAAAGCAAAACCTTGAGCTAGAACTACAATTCAATAAGAAACGTTTAGAAATGGAGACCTTGGCTACCAAGCAGGTAATTTTTAAAAAAGCAGCTTTTTAGGCAATAAACTGGTTTGTCTGGGGAGGCTTTTTTTTTGTTGTATTGTTTTTAAAAACCAATTATTGTAAAGGAAATGCTTTGAAGTATTTTTCTTGTACATGATTTTATGTAGAAGAACTGGTATTTAGTTTGTATTCTGAGTATGATGTTGTATTAATGTTAGGGATTAACTAATGCTGACCTTATTCCTTATATAACATGGATGGTTTTGTTCCTTACCAAACTCTAGAGACTGTTGCCTGTGGCAAAAGTTATTTCTCTAGACATTAATGTCACTAGTGACTGGTTCTTGACTGGTGTTGATATATATCTGACTGCTGCAACAAATATGACTTGATTTTTTTGAAAGCTGTTTCTTTTTTTAATTCCAGTATTTTTTAAGCTTTGCAATATTGAAGCAAATGCAGAAGAACATCAGAGTTTGAAAATGAAGGATTTCCTATGAATATAGCAGATGTTCAGTATCAGTTTCATTGTGAGAGTCTTTAAAATGTCAGGAACATAAAATTTATCTTCAATAAACAGCATTAAGAGGTTTTTTTTTGTTGTTTTTTTTTTTTGTTTTTTTTTTTTTAAATCACTACCTGTTTTTCCCCAGGCTCTAGAAGACCATACTATTCGTCATGCAAAGATACTGGAAGCTCTGGAAGCTGAGAAGCAGAAGATTGCTGAAGAAATACACACTCTGCAGAGGAACCGTGGGAGTGGGAATAGAACAATGACAAGTGTGTATATACGTGTTGCAAAGGCAATGCTGACTTCTCTTTTGCTCAGAGGGATTGGGCCATGGATACAGATACAGGAGCTCTTTCTGTTCCCCTAACACTGCCCTGAACAACAAGAGCCTTCTGGTTGTTACAAGCCTTTCTATTCATAAGCTGTGTCTATCTGACTGTGTTAAAAGCTCAGTTTTAATTGGACTCAGGGTGGTTAGGTACACATGTAGTCTGCATTTATCCCAGCTGCTTAAGAGCCCATCCCCTTCTGTCTGAACTGGTCAAGCATTAACTCCTTGGGGAAACTGAAGTAACAGAATTCATTTTGTTTAGTTTTCTATCACAGTGTCTGGTGGTTATGCCTCTGTTTCTGAAATACCCTTTATCTCACCTTTTAAAAGGGTTACCTTGCCTGGAAGGGTCATTTTTTCCCAATGAACTGGGAATTCATGGAAATATTGTTGGGTGAATTGTGTTTGTGCTGTGCTTTTAGATTGGTTTCCTTTTTGCCCTTTTTTTGTTTTAATTAACCCTAAGTTGTTGCATCACATTGTTTGATCCACGTAATCATTATGTTCTATCTTCTTTATTAGTTCCACTGAACTGGAAGTCTCTGAAGCTGTCTGTGATGGTCAAAGAGGCCAATGCCATTAGTAATGCATTGGGGAAGAACACTGTTTTCTGCAGGTGAGTATCTGAGTCAGTTAATTATAAGGGATTGTATATAATATATATATTTATAACTGAGGGGTGGATTCTGAATGTGCAGGAAGCTGTTGGTTTTTCTTTTAACAATCTCACAACATTGAACACAATAAATGAACTTTCCAAACTAGCTTTAGTTAAGTGTGTAGTTCAACCTTGTTACTTTGAAATGGGAATTTGAATTTTACATCAAAACTTTAAAGGTATGTCTACAAAAAACTAATTTTGGATTGAATGTGCTTTGGAAGTGAATCTTCTGATGCCCATGTCGCATACTGAAGTGGTCCTAAAACATACTGTGTTCCTGTCAGGCAAAACTGAACAGAGGCTGCTGTACCAGCCACCAGGAGGTGCTCAGTTCACAGGCCTGGAACAGGGGTAGCTCAAAGTAAAAACCTCAGTGGACATCCAGCCTTTGGGACCAGTTGTTTCACTCCACAGATCTCTTGCTATGCCAAACTACTTGATAGCTGTAGCTAAAGAATGTTCTGGAAGTGGACCTGTACATTGTTCAGATCCTCTTAGCATGGGCAGAGATGTATTAGTGCAGTGGGAACTGTATCATTTAAAACAATTGCTGTAGTAAATGCAGGTAAGATAGGACTTGCTAGGAGGTCTGTGTTTTACTGGTTTTCCAGGTGTTGTATTTTCACTTCCTTCAACAAGAACTCTGCTAGTAGAATTCTGTAGCATATATTTGGTTCTGAATTTCTTGGGAGCCAGGAATTTGTATGCTAGTATCCACTTCTGCCTCTGAATGCAGGAAGTCCTATTTTCCTTTACATAAAAATAACAGCTACTCTTAGGTTGGTTTGGTTAGATGCATGATGTCTCAAGAAATTTGTATCATGTTTTTATTCTCTGTATAATAAACAAGTATCTTGTTTATTTTTTGCAATATGAATAATGTGTTTTGTCTTGATGTTTGTCTTTTAACTTTCCCACATTCTTAGGCACGACAAAATTGATGATAAAACAGGAGCAGTGTCTTCTGTGCAGGTGCAGGTTCGTAACATCAAGCTGGGAATAGCAACTTTTTGGAGTCTAGAGAAATTTGAATGCAAACTAGCAGCAATGAAAGAACTGTATGAGGTCAGTAATAGCTGAAGAATAAGCACTAATAATCAGTAAAACTTTGTCAAAGATAAGATTTTGATAATCCATACAGGAGGAAAATCTTGGGGTTTTATTTGAATTTATGTCATCTTAAATGCCAAGACACATGTATGTGCATTTATCCATCATACAGAAAGAGGACAATAGAAATCAATTACTTTATTGAGGTCATTTTTTGTGCTGAGTAAGAAGCAGTAAACATATATATCTGAAAATACACCAAAACATTAAAGCTATCCTTCTGTTAATAGAACATGTTGTCTTCATTCTTGTATTGAATACGTTGTCACTTCTGTTTAACTCTACTCCTCCCCTCTGTTTTCTTTATTTTTTTCAGAGTAATGATAGAAATAAAGCTGCTGATGTGTTTTATGATCCTGCTGATGAGTGGGAACCTGACCTTTCAGACACATCAGTTTCTTCTCTTTCCAGAAGAAGGTAATACTAATTTGTAGCTCCTCCTCTATGCTTAAAGGAAAAAATGGTGTAATTATCTGAATATGGTTTTGTGTCACTAACATAGTAATGTATTAATCCTTCTTTTCCCTTATTATAATGTCAGTTATATCCATAAATTTTGATTTACTTTGTCCTTGTGAGGAGGAGGGAAAAGTTGAAACTAAATATGTTACCTTATTATACCACTTATGAAATGTGTGTTAATGTGCAACATGTTGCTGATAAAAATTATGTGTCCAGGAAGCAGTTTGGTAGATGTCACAGCAGTGTTTCTGAGGTCAGGTCTAGAATACATGCAGCATATGTCTGATTAGTGCTAGAGGGTTTTGTGTATGACCATTGACAATTAGTTCTGGATTATAATAATCCAGCAGTAGGATATTGAATTAAAAATGGGTATATGGAATGAAGATGCATCTACAGGAGCAAGAGCCTGAAGCAAGTAAGTAGGATCTATTCTATGGGCTGTATTGGCTTGCTTTCACTCTAGTTTGGGTTCTGTGTTCAAAAGTTACATTAATTAAAAGTAGATGTTTATGTTGTTTGCCCAATGTCTGTTAATATTCATTGAACTTCAGTGGCTATGAGGAGAGAGATTCTTTTCTTTTGACATTTTCTCATGTTTTTATTTTATCATGCTTTCTTAGAAGTAGAAGTTTCATGAAAAACAAGAGAATTTCTGGATGTTTGTCTGAGATAAAATTGCAGCCCATTCAGAATATACAGACTTCCTATATATCAGGTACTTGCTATATGGCAGAACACCTTTCATGTCATACTGAGAATTTTAACCTAATACATGCAGAAAACATGTGCATTTGTAATAGTTTTTTTAAAAAAGCAGCATAGGTTGGAAAGCAAAACTAAAAATGTCTTGTTTGTGATATCTTCAAGTTTGTAATGTTAAGCTGTTAACAGTAGGGGGTTTGTATTTTTGATTACACTTTCTTAGGGCAAAAACTTCCTGACCAGCACTTTATGAACATTATTTAAGAAACTTGCCTAAAACATTACTGTGTGTAACTACATGGGTTAACTGGAGAAAAAGCTTGAATCCTGATCCAATCATTTGGAAACTTTGTTTTCTTGAGTTGTTGCTATTCATTCAACTACTGAGGTTTCCCCAAGCTTTTTTTCAGGTTTTACAAACTTGTTTGCTGAAATACAGGGTGCTCCAAATATTTTTATGCATTCAGTTATTTTAGATTGGCTGGGGTTTATTATCTTCTGTTTCTCAATAGATTTGATTGTTGAAACAGATGGATTCATGTTAAAGAATGTCACTATTGAATTTTTCTTCATACTAACTGAATCTAGAAAGTATTTAGGATATTGTATATGCATTTTTTCCTGACTTACAATCTTGAGTAGATGAATGTTAGCAGTAAATAGTCATTACTGTTTAGACACACTGGCTGCTCATTCCTGTGAGGAGTTTCTTGCATGTATGTTTTGCTTTTACGTCATACAGGTTCACAGAGCAAGTCCAGCATATGCCCAAGCTTTTCTGAATCATTTCTTCCTGGAATTTGCAAGGAATCTATAAGTTCAGCTTTAGACTTATTGGAACAGAATCATGAAGCAGGAAAAAGCATAGCAGATAGTCTCCTAACTAATTTGCTTATAATTTTTTCTGGAGTGTCTGCCATTTCAAAAGCCTATGAACAGCAAGATGAAGAATGTCAAGAAAACTGTAAGTCTCATTTTCACAAGAGTTTAAACATTACTAATGACTTCCAGATTCAAAAGCATTCGTGTATTTGTGTCTCACAAGAATTAATATTCCTCCATTAATTTGCCAAGGAGATAGGTCTGATAGATATCCTTCTCTTGTAGTTTTCAATCTTGATCCTGCTGCTCAGTCCTACAGCATCAGAATTATCTCTGCTTTTGACCAGATTGTGGTTCTAAGCAAGCTCTGGCTTAACAATATCCAAAAGTGTCCTGGATCTATAAAAGTTGATGAAGAAATGAAACGGGAAATCAAGAACTTGGGAGGTTATTTACAGTTACTGTTGCAGGTAAAGCATATTAAAGAATTCCTCTGTGTATAGAGAACTTGTATGCATTAAAGCAGTATTTACTACAGACTTGCTAAAAACACTTAAACGTCCAATGCATGCAGTGACAAATGGCCAAGGGTGTTGGGGTTTTTTTTGGTACTTTCATGTGCTAGTTGAGAGTAATGCAGACCTTCCTGTGCCCAGGACATTAGCATTAGTTCTTACTCATAAAAGGGTAAAAGAAAATACGCAGGAGCAAGAGCAAGTGCTGGTTTAGACTGTGAAGTACTGCTGTTGTAAGTGTATAAACCACTGGCCAGTATTACCCTTTTCATGCTACAGCCTTGTGAAGATTTTATTTCTTTTCTAAATTGTTTGCTTCTCTGTGGTTGCAAGGCACAGTCTTTCAGCTGTGATAAATAAGTCGTGATTAGGAAGATGTAAAGCTAAAAATTCCTCAAAATATTGTGTGCTATGAACTCTTGCATTATAGAAAGTGTGTGACCACAGGTCCTTTCTAGTCTTCAGTGAATGATGTGCCTTTCTTTCTCAGGGGTGTTCTTCAGATATATCCTCGATGGTAACAGAAGCATGGAGCAAAGTGAACCAAACAGTAAAACAAACAATGAAACACATAGGACACTTGGCAGTAGTCACAGCAGCTGATACTTCATTTCCTGAAGAGAACAATATTCCTGTCTCTAATCTACAGGTAAAAAAATGTTTATTAGAAATAGTAATTGTGAATAGTTAGTTTAATGTTGCTGTCACACTTATTATCAGTAACTGTGCTCAGAAGCAAATTGTTATATATAACAACTTCATCAACTGAATTAAGTACATATAGTACATTCATTTTTATGGTGAAAATGAATGTGTTAATACCCTTGATATTTTTTCCCCTTAAAAACTGCACTTTAAATCTGTGCAACTTACACCTATAAAGAGAAAGAAATACTGTGCTCTTAGGATTGTATCTGCACTGAAATGATACAAATCTACCTGTTTCACTGAAATTCAACACTTATATTTCAGTAATCTGTGTTTAAGTACCATACTGAGTTTTCAGAAATCTGAACAAAGTTAGGAAAAGGAGATTAAAGTGCTGAGCACCAGTGGTCCAAGAATGACACGTGATTGAATAGACCTGCACTGAACAATTTGCAGAAACCAAAATTGTTTCTAGCCCACTGCAGAAAATCTGCTTTAATTTAAATTTTTAAGACCAAATCAGTTTCTTTAGTCATTGCATTTTGAACCTTTGTTTTAAAAGGAATTTGTACTTGCCATTTATGATGGAGTAGGCTCGGGACTGGAGTTTCTCATTGATACTGTACAGGAGAAAGCAAGAACAGTACAGAAAAAACTTGTGAAACAACGTCCACAAAATGAGGTGAGATGAAAGTAAGATGAAAAACTACTCTGTCTTGGAGGCACTTGATCATAGTGGGTTTTTGTAAGGTACAGTCTGTTATTTTGTGCTTTCATTTTACTTAGGTGGTAAATCACGAAGTAGATGATACCAGATGATACACATAGTAGAGAGTAAAGTATGAGGAAGAAGCAACCTGTTAGCATTTGAAAAATTCCATGTTATGTTGTGGAAAACATTATTTCTGCTTTAGACAATTTTTCTTAATAGTGTGCTAGTATTCACTCTTATCCTTTTAAAATATTAATATACTTTGATTTCAATCAAGTGTACGATATAATTAAAAGTTTCTTTGTAGATTCAAAATCGAATAAAGGATAATGTCGTGGCATTAGCCAGATTCCTTGAAAATAACATCTCTTACTGCAGAAAGGTAAGAGAAATGCTTCGTAAAATGTGTGTGCTTTGAGTCTGGCATTTAAATTTTAAGGATACATTTATCAAAGAAAAGGAATTGAAATTAACTTCTCTATATTTACATTTGCACGATAACACTTCCTGTCTCAGCAGCATTCCTGTGATTGGAACGCTTAGTTTTCTGGCTACTGCATTTCCACTCAAAACTCTTTGATTTTCATTTCACTTAAAGTATTTCTGGAGGTACTCTTATCTTCGTTTTGCTCTCATCATAAGCATAACCACCTCTTGTGTTTTCTTTTAAGTTGAAAGCCTTAAGTTCAGTAATGCCAGTGTGAATTACAGCTTCTGCAATAGTTATCGGTATTTTGAATTAAAAGCCAGGAGAGATCATTTAATCTATCTTCTAAGAGCCAACCTTATTATGGCTTTTAGTTTCATTTGCCCTTTTTTAACCCCATCAACAACCTGTACTCTTTCTGGTGCTCTTATTTGTGTGACGTGGTGTCAGCTTGATTTTGTGTTTCAGCATTGGCCTGTTGTATGTGACTGAATCCATAATAGGCATGTTTAATAGATAATATACTGTCATGTATTTGTTTGGGTTTTTTTAACTGCTATTTAATAATACAGAAAGAAATAGAATCTCAGTTACTGGAAGAAGAATCTTTGTATCGAGAAATAAAGAAAAGCACTAAGATTGCTGCAAAATATTTGGAATTGGAGCAGTGCCTAACTGAAGTCTGTCGAGTTGTTTCTTCCATGTTACAAGGTATTTATCTGGGTTATCACCTGTCTTGTTGGTAACCTATGGGCTACGGAAGACCTGTAAGGCAAGAGGGAGGACAACTTGGCCTCCCTTTGCAAAATGCTGCATTTGATTCTTCTTGTCTCTGTTTGTCATAGGGTTGTACAGAAACACAAGCCCCCTCAGGAGCTTTGCAGAAAACATTTCTGTCATAGGTGGATATATTAACAACTATTTCAGTTTGTTTGCCTTGTCTTCTGCAAACAACCCTATCCAGAAGACAGCCCAACCTTTTATGAACCTGGACGAACTGGACTCTCTGGTTGATTCCCTTATTATGAATTTTGAACTTGAACAAGGACAGCCATCACTGCAATCTCAGACTGTTTGTAATGATACTACTGAGACTCAAGGAGAACAGGTTGAAACAGGTGAAGTTGCTTGGAAGTGGAATGGGACTCCGGAACACACACAAACTCCAGAGCTTTCACCTGGTAGGGTAGAATGGGTGTAAAAGGTTATTATCAACAGATGAAAGGAAACTCTTTCATTTTGTGTGAAGGGAAAGTAACATGCATGACAGAAAGCTAAAATTTATTACTAATATTAGTGAGTGAGTGATGTGAAAGTAAATGACATGTTTGTATGAGGATGGGTATCCTATATTTCACCAAAAAAAAATTCCTTAAGAGGCTGTCAGACTTGAAAGTACAGTTCCTTTTGTTTTAATAAATGTCTATGGTTACCTAAGTTTATAAGAAATAATTTAATGCAGTAAGTAAATAGTCAGTTGGAAATGATACGAACAGGTAGACTAAAATTCTTGAGGAATAACTTGGAAACACAGTAAAGGCTTGGTAGGACATTGACATCTCTTCATCATAAGCCATGATTTAGGACTGTGTGGGAGATTCCTTTGAAGGGCATTCGTAACACGTGTTGCATACAGTTAGGTGAGAAGACTGCCTTGCTGACTTGGACACTTGAAAGGTAAATGATGTGGGAACCAATTTTCTACTTTCTTTTTTTTTTAATTGCTGCTTCACTTCTGCTGATCTAGTAGTGTTACTGCAACTTTAAAGTGTTTTTTATACCTTTTTTACACAGAGCAAAACCTTTGTATTTATTTCTGTAGAGAAAAACTGAGAGATAGTAAAAGTATTTTACAACTCTATTTGATAAATACTTTTTTAAGTGGTTTTGTAATTAATTGAAAAATATGGGCTTAAAGAGTATATCAGTGATGCTGCTCTTTAACATGATCTGAAGTAAGTCTGTTGCTAGTGAGTTATCTTTTGATTGCTCAAATGACTTTCAATACTTTTCATACTGAAATAGAAGCATATTTCTAAATACATGTTATCCCATGAGGTTGTAGAGAATTTTCCCAATCGACTAAATCCTTGTGCTTTTTATTGTAGTCATATTGTTTAATACCTTAATTTTAGTCTATTGGCTGAAGCCAGTGCAAGCTAACAGGAAGGATGGAAATTATTTGGAATTTTTATTCTTTAAGACTGGGTTTTAGGAGGCCTGGACTGAGCACTATTTACTGACAACAGCGCAGTGAAGTTTGTAAGCTAAAGCCAAAGATTTTTTTCCTGTATATCAAAGCTTCTGTCATGGTTTAAGCCCAGCTGGAAGCTGAGCACCACACAGCTGGCCCACCAGTGGGGGAGAATCAGAAGGGTAAAAGTGAGAAAAATCCTGGGTTGAGATAAAGAAGGTTTAACACGGAGAGCAAAAGCCACACACATGAGCAAAGCAAAAGAAGAAATTCTGTTTCCCAGGGGCTGCAGGGAAATCCCTGCTCTAGTGGCTGGAACACCTCCTCCCCTACTGCAGCATGGGGTTTGTGGGTCCTTCCCACAGGCTGCAGTTCGTCATGGATTGCTCCAGTGTAGGTGCCTTCCACAGGGTGCAGTCCCCCAGGAACAGGCTGCTCTAGGGGGGGTCCCCCATGGGGTTACAAGTCCTGCCAGCAAACCTGTTCCAGTGTGGGCTTCTCTCCCTGTGGCTCCAGAGGTCCTGCCGGGACCCTGTTCCAGTGTGGGCTTCCCACAGGGTCATAGCCTCCTTCAGGCATCTACCTGCTCCTTTGGGCATGAGTCCTCCAGGGGCTGCAGGTGGATATCCCTATGGACTCATCCACAGGTCCTTGTCTCCTTGACTTGTGTTCACACTGGAGGTCCAGCATGTCCAGCACAGCACCACAAACAGCAGCCATGCCCCAGCCGTCTACCAGTCCCTGTGCATCACCATTGCTGATATCAAAATGTTCCCAGGAAGAGCAGAGCGAGGTGATCAGCAGAACAACAAGCAGTGAGAGCAAAAAGCAGCCACTCATGAGCTCAGACTCTCATACACCGTAGGGTAGTCGAGCCCAGGGCAAGCACGAGAGGCTGTCCAAAGCAGCCAAGCAGCAGTTAAATTCCATCTAACATATTCCAGTCAAATCTGTCCTTACCCCAAACCTTCTAAGCTCCATGTTGGGCACCAAAAAGAACTGTTGTGGTTTAACCACAGCTGGCAGCTCAGCCCCACCCAGCCACTCACTCAGTCCCACCCAATGGGGTCAGGGAGAGAATTGAAAGGGTAAAAGTGAGAAAACTCCTGGGTTAAGATAAAGACAGTTTAACAGGGAAAGCAAAAGCTGTGCATATGAGCAAAGCAAAACAAGAAATCAATTCATTGCTTCACAAGGGGCAGGCAGGTGTTTAGCCATCCCCAGGAAAGCAGAGCTCCATCACGCCCCACTTGGGAAGACAAATGTCATCACTCTGAATGTCCTGTCTTTCTTTCTTCTTCCTCTCTCTTTATACACTGAGCATAATGTCACATGGGATGAAATATCCCTTTGGTCATTTGGGGTCACCTGTCCTGGCTGTGTCTCCTCCCAGCTTCCCAAGCATCCCCAGCCCCCTTGCTAACCTGGCAGCATGAAGCGAAAAGGCCTTGGCTCCGTGTTAGTGCTGCTCAGCAATAACAAAAACATCTATTTGTAATGATTATTCTCAGCACAAATCCAAACCGTAGTCCCCTACTAGCTACAGTGAAAAAAATTACCTCAGCCGAAACCAGCACACCTTCCAAATCCGATATTCACAGCTGTCACCTTTCCTTCTGAGGGAAGATGTTCAGCATCTTGCAGATTTCAGTCTCTGAGAACATAATAAGTTCTTAGAACTGTTTATGTGAAAAGACTGCAAGTAAGGTCAGCCATTATTTTCTTTTGAAAACTTTCACACTGTAGTTATAATTGATGCTGTTATTCAGGGATTTTGCACTTTTCTTATTTAGAGGAAGCAAGGAAGGTAATTATGCTGATCCAGTAACCCACGTGTGTTTCTTCAAGGCTAACATACCATAGTACTTAGTCAAAAAAGTCCAGTGGCACAGTCCTGCCATCAAAAATATTCACTGATTTTTTTTTTCCTGTCAGCTAATAATTTTTTTCTCACATGAGGTATGATATTTAATTGCTTTGTTACTGTAAAAGCTTTTACAAGTCTGCTACAGGGTTAAAGTATATTCAGTTGTTTAGCTTTTTATGCTGTAAAAATGAAGAGAAACTTGATATATTTGTACTTGTGTAAATATTTTACTTTGTATTTGGCTGAATTTTTAAAAACATAACTGGTTCTTCTGAATTGTGTATCTAAACATGGAAATTGTAAAGAGTAAAACTACATCATGTAAGTGAACACTGATTTTATTTATTTATTTATGTATTTATTATGAGTTCAAGTGTAAATTCCTTGTTGTTTTTTCTTCTGTGTACAGTTGATTTTGAGACCTTCCTTTGTTGCTGACAGTATTGCTTTCTTGCTCAAAGTATCATACTGCTGAAATATGCGATATTAGTAAGAGGTGTTTTCTGTAGATCTCAAGTGAAACAAAACAGAAAACGTCTTTACCTACGTTTCTTTGCTCTGCTAATACACATTAACTTTCCTCTATGAACAGCACATATTTGGAGGCTGAATGCTCATGCAGTAATCCACACCTGTTAATGTCAGAATGCTCAACGCCTTCCTGTATCTGCTAGTCAATGTTGTGGTGTCGTGTCAAGTGTCCATTGCAAAATGACGTTCAAGTGTTACTGGTGCTCCACCTGCCCTGGTGATTAACGATGTTTGCTTTTGTTCTTGTATTTAATGGGAAGCATTGCTTAGAAAACACATTGGGGTTTGTAGTTCTGGGTATTCTAATGAGAATTTTTAATCTTTTTTGTCTTTTTTTCTTTCCATAACTGAAAACCAAGTTTTATGTTTTTCTGAAACTCAGGAGGAAGTGACCATGCAAACAAATGAGTTTCAGATAGTTTTAACTGAGGTATTGGGCCATCTTAATGATGTGAAATTTAGCTTTTGCAGGATGAATGAAGATGTTGCCAATAGCTTCTTTCTGCTTGGTTGGGGTTTGTTTTGAGGGGGGTTTTGGGGGTTTTTTTCCTCTCCTCTGCTCTGCTAACTAGCCTTGTATAATGATTCAACTAATCAACCCCTCTTTTTTTCCCGTCGTTAATACTAAATTCAAATTCTAAAGTAATATATTAACAAAACCTGCTCCCGCTAGTGTTTTTTCTTCAGCTCTGTACCCTTGTTACAGTTACACATCATTGAAGTGCTTTATTCTTAGGATCTGTACGGTCCCTGAACATCATCAGAGTGAGCTGGTGCTCTCACAATGTGCTGCATTAATACATCAGCCAGCCTAGCTGAGGCTCCAGTAATCTATTGGTGTAATATACCATAAGGTAAGGTATATTTGTAACTATAGGCTAACGTATCCGTAAGTTCTGAATGTCAAGGAATTGGGATGATAGCAGGCAAATTTTGGGATGTATTGATTTGAATGGTAGGTTATTTTATTAGTCTTTGCAAGGTGTTGGAGGGTAGGTGTGGGTTAGGCCCAGGTCAGTGCAGGAATTGCCATGTCTGAACACGGTATCTGCATCCCCTGTGGGGAACTGTGGGGAATTTGAAGTAGACTAATATTGCTGAGTAGTATGGTCCAGATACTTTCATCATTTCACATTTTTGCAGATCCGACTGTAAAGTCAGGGTCTGGATAACTTTTGGCAGATAGTGGTAATACATAAAATCTTCTTATGATGGCACCTTAGAATTTTCTTCTAAACCCTAAAGCAGACACCAAAACAGTGCAATTGAAAAAGTTTTAGTATGTCATAAAGTTAATTCCATTCACAGGAATGTTGGTGGTGTCAATTTCTCTGCTGGGGGATCACAACCAATATTTATTAAAACACCTTTCCTTAATTACTGTTAATAATGGAATCAAGATATTTACTTCCAGCAGGTAACTGTTCACACAGTTTCTTCACACTTCAGTTGAAATGTTTTGGGGTTCTCAAACCTACAGTCTTTCAGCTCTGTATCACTGAAATGAACTTTGAGTGAGCAGTCAGGAACGTGCACAGGGTTGTTGAAGTTGGTTTTCTTGGTGGTGTTTGTTGTTTCCTTTAACATCTTCGCCCTTCAGGAAAATGTTCTTCAGTCAGCTTTCAGGTAAAAATTAATCATGTAATTAGAACTATGTGTACTTGACCCATGAGTTTTATTGGCTGATATAAAAGGAGAGGGGTTTGTTTTAGTTGAAATGTAAAGTGGAGAGATGGGGTATTCGAACTGCTGCACCCTAGTTTAATTTGAAAATGTGCAACTAGGAAAAATCAAACTAATGGAATAAGTTCCCTTTGTAATAGAAATTGCTCTAAGAAGTTAATAAGAAATAGGTATTTCTTCAGTTCTATACTTGATTTTAAAAATGGTGTTATACTAACACAAATGCTTAATGATCCTGAGAGTACTGATCTGCAGCTCTATTTTTTTCTTTATAGCTCCTAGTCTAGTTTTATTTATTCAATAGTAGGATAATAAAATTGAAATTACACATTCTAACATCATTCAGCATCAATATGTGAAACATTAAACTACTGCACAAAAATGAAACAAATTGATTTTTGTTGTGAAAATCAGTAAAACCATGGGAGTGCAACTAACTGTGATTAGGCACTAACCTGTTTGTTTTTATCCCTAATCAGGAATAAGGAGCATGTTTACTTCAGGTAAAGATAACGATCCTGGAAGGAAATGTATCTTCAGACTGTGAACACTTGATTACATGAGCATCCTTCAGACAATGTTAGTCCATCTTTAATGAGACATGTTGTGTGTAAATGCATTTTTAGAAAAAAGGGCAGTCTAGCTATGCTTTTTAAAGAATGTGTACCAGTCTTAGAAATCAAGGATAAGTAAACTCTTCTAGTACTTGCTTGAGAATTCTAGATGAAGGAAGACAGCAAGCTCCAGTCCAGATTTAATTTGATCCAGTAATGGCATCTGCAGGCAGAAGAGGAGACTACATCTGATTCACCTCTGCAAATGCAGCCTATTGTTTTTGGACGCGAAATTTCTTGTCGTTCTTCATACACACTAAAACACTGTGATTAGATAAGTCCTGTTGCTTTTGTATCTTTTGCAGCTTTTCTGATTTCATGGTAAAGGGGGATTTTTTTGTTTGGTTGGTTTGGGTTTTTTTTATATTATTGTAGGACAGCATTTTAGTTCCCCTCTTGGCTTTTTGGTAGTATCTGATATGGTTTGTGCATTTTCCCAAGGAAAGGCTGTTTG